CCCATCAGACTTGGCCACCAGCTCAGAGATCCGGGCAAAGACAAGGCGGTTAGGAGTGCTGGGGAAAGCCGTAGGGAAGCAGAAAGGAATTAGGCTACTTAACTGTGAACTTTTTCTGGGACAGGTGGGTTGTTCTCAGTTATTGAAGGAGTCGGAGAAGCCACTGCAGACTGGCCTCACCACAGGGCTGAACGAGAATCAGGCAGGTGGCCCCTTAGGGGGGGACAGCCTGTCTGCTGGTGAGTATTTATTTAGAGACCCATCTGGCGAAGGAGGCTGATGGAGATCTTAGTGTAACATAGGAATTACCTATTTCAAGTGGGAATTATGTGAAGTCCCTCCACACACGGAAATCCATATTGTCGGGATGTGTAGAATCACACAAAAGTTGCTCCATAGGATTAGGGGGGTTTTATCAAGCTAAAGCAATCTGTTGAATTATTTACTAGAAGGATATATTTTTTCAAAAGAGGATCTTAAAGTAGGCTATTTCTTAATTTTCATTTCTCTGTACTGTAGATTATGTCATACATGTTAAGGAGTCTTGTTTACATTCCCCCCGCCTTTTGGAAACTTCTGTGGGAGAGGGATCTTTTATCTTTCCAGGCATTAGTAATTCGTTCCTCTCTCTGGTTCAGAAATGCAGTCTTGTCTGAAATCTTAGATTATGAATTAGGATAATGTTAGTCATTGAAAGTGGAAATTGTCTGGCTTCAGGTTAGGAAATGGCTGTGTCCTTGAGGGTCCAGAACCTTTATGGTTCTGGAGCTTGAACTTTGTTTTAGGGATGCCCAGTTAGGCTGTGCAGGTCTTTGGGGGCAAACCTTGGGAGTAATTGGAGTCCAGCTTCGGGCCTAAGGATGGCCTGCATGGCAGCAGAAACCAACGGAAAGTCTCTGGCGATGCCTTGTTTTCAGAGCTCGACAAGAAGGCGGCCCTCCTGAAGTGTGAGTACTGCGGGAAGTACGCCCCTGCAGAGCAGTTTCGCGGCTCCAAGAGATTCTGCTCCATGACTTGCGCCAAGAGGTACTGCAGGCACCTCGCCCTCAGCCCAGCGCTGGCTCCTCCATGTTGGGTTGCCCCCCTTCCCTGGGACCACCTCCAGGCTGATACTTAATGTCACCTTCTCTGCTTTCATTCTTTTCTCCAAGTCAGCCCTTAAAGTACTGGTTCGCATTCAGTGCAGGGTGGCAGGTGGTCTCCTGTGGAAGCACCTGGGACATCCTGTCTCCACCCTGCCCTGTAGGTACAATGTGAGCTGTAGCCACCAGTTCCGGCTGAAGAGGAAAAAAATGAAAGAGTTTCAAGAAGCCAACTATGCTCGTGTTCGCCGGCGTCGGACCCCGCCGCAGCTCCTCCGACATCGCCCGAGCCAAGATCCAGGGCAAGCGCCACCGGGTGAGCCGCTCCCTTTAAAATGGGCCTTTTCCCTTCCTCTGCTCCTACAGGGCAACCCCTTTGCCTGGGTAAAAAAAGTATGAGACCAGAACTCTGGTTCCACACTGATCGCATTACTCTGAATTCCAGAAGACTCTGCCCTCTTGTCTGTTCTCACCCGATTGCTGGCTTGTGTATCCGTTAGTTCTTCCACTGCGTTTGAGTGTGGGGACTCTAGGTCAGTTGTTGGTAGGTAGGGAGGATCAAGAGAGTGACAGTTCATACTTGAAAGGCACTTGAGAGCAGGCTGGTGACTTCGGGCTTTTGCGAGTGAAGTGCAGATTATTGAGATTAGTTTTTCTCTGTGCCCCGTATTAACCTGAATCCAGAGTGGCTGGGAGATGGGAAAGAAATCTCAGGGCACCGTCATTCATGACCTCACTGTTCTGCATTTTATTCTGTAGGGTCAAGAGGACTCCAGCCGGGGTTCAGATAATTCCAGTTATGATGAAGCACTCTCTCCAACATCTCCCGGGCCTTTATCCGTGAGAGCGGGCCATGGAGAGCGTGACCTGGGGAACCCCAGTACAGCTCCGCCCACGCCAGAATTGCACGGCATCAACCCTGTGTTCCTGTCCAGTAACCCGAGCCGCTGGAGCGTGGAGGAGGTGTATGAGTTCATCGCTTCCCTGCAAGGTATCTGGGCCTCCCCAGTGGAACCCAGGTCACCTGCGTGCTTAGTTTTCCTGCAGTTTCCTTTAGGTCGTCCCTTAGGGCCTTTGTAACAGGAACCTGATGGACTTAAGAGGTAGAGGCTTAAGTAGGGTATGATGAAGGCGCTACTCTTGGCATTTATTCACGTGACTGGTCCACAGCCTGGGCTCGCAGGTTTTCTGGGTTGACTGTCCTCTGCTGTGTCAGCAATTTTGCAACACTGGATTTTCGTCTCTTACGATTCTTACCAGTAGTTTTTAGGTAAAGCGTGTTTTTACTGTGTGACTCATTGGGCTCTCCGGCATGGATAAAAGACTTTTGTTCAGGGGAGAAGGGAGTTAGGACATCCTGGGCCGCTGTTGCCCTGCTCTCTTCAAGGCAGGATTGTTTATAAACTGTTCTTAACAGAGATGGTTTTCTTCAGAAAACCACCCCACTTTCCTTGCTATTTTGTCAGAATTCTGGCCCCTTAAAATGTAATGAAGGCTCTTAACTTTGATTTTCTTACCAGCATCAAAGAAAATGTATGTATTTTGCTCCCTCCCTTTCTCCCCTCAAGATATCTTAATTTATTCCCCTGGTTGAACAACTTAGTTGTTCTCCCTTTATCTCAGCTTTTTTTCCTGTTGTTCTCTCTGATTTCAGTTTGCTCCCGGAGCCTGCCATCTCAGGCCACTGCACTGCTGGATTTAGGACAGGCACTCTGGTGCTACCATGTAGCTCCTCGTACTAATTCCCACCATTTCCTCCTAGGCTGCCAAGAGATCGCAGAGGAGTTTCGTTCCCAGGAGATTGACGGACAGGCCCTCTTATTACTTAAAGAGGAACATCTCATGAGTGCCATGAACATCAAGCTGGGCCCGGCCCTCAAGATCTGCGCCAAGATAAATGTCCTCAAGGAGACCTAAGGTGGCCCTCTTGCACAAACCAGCCCAAGGCAGACACTCCCCACTGTCCAGGTTATGACCTGGTGCCAGCAGACTTCACAGGGAAGAAAGAGCTGTTCCAATTATGTAACCCTTCCGTAGAGTGGATTACTGAGACGGGGAAGAACAGTGCGAGGCTTGGTCGCTGGTGCTACATGGCGGCAGCTCTGACATTTCTCTGGGTTCTACTTTGTTTTTTAAAATCTGTACCATTCTCACCTCCCCCAATTCAGTCTTTACAAGAGGCAGTCTGGAGGACTAGGACTGCTCAGCCTTATCCCAGAGTGGGGTGTCTAGCCAGGGTCTCGGTCCTCCAGGAGGAGGAGTGTTCAGTGCCGGGGGCTAGGAGGTGGATGGGACGTAGGTGTGCCTCAGCCGCGCGGGAGGCAGGGTTTTTCCAGCTTGTGTGACACAAGTAGCAGAATCCGGTGCCCCCTCTTCCCTCTGGATTGTCCGACTGTAGCCGTGGCCGAGTTGTGCTGTCCCTCCCTTAGTACTGAATGTTCTCTCCTGCGTCCGTGGCAGGGTCAACAGCCAGGGCAGAGACTTGGCTGGCACCATGCTGATTAGCTGCAGGGACTGTTTGGCACACACGTGGCGGTTGCCATCCTTTTTGCATCCCTGCTCCCTTCCAGTTTATCTGTTGTCTTCTGCCCTCCCTTTCCCATTCCTACTCTGCTCTGTCCTATAGCTTTATAAAGCAGGAGCGCGTGGGGCTGAGGTCAGGTGTAGAAGTACCTGCCTTAGGCGCTATTCCTTATACAACAAAAAATATTAAATATTTTTTTTTCCCTCCTCAGTAAAAGGATGAAAATTGGTCTTGGCTGTCTTACTCCATCATTCCAGTGTATCTACCCTCTTCTTTCACACAAATGAGTAGGCCAACATTTTTTTTTTAATCTTTTAAGTGTTTTTGTACAAAAAGTGTATTTTTTTTGCATTTTTAAAACACCAGGGTGTGGGGAAGGGACGCAAACAAATAATGAAAAAGATGCTTTTATAACATTATTTCCCTGTTTAGAAAGAAAAAAAATCATTCCAATAGGATTTAAAAGTCTAAAGAGGAAATAACTTCATTTTCTTCTCTAAAGGCTAGAAAGGCCCCTGCCTGTTGAGCCCAGCCTCTCGTGCCCAGTGGAGCCACGTTACTCTCCAGTGGCCCAAGGTCACTATCACAGAAAGATCAGGCCAGGTTTCTGGGCACATGGCCTTACTTAACAGCAAGGTGGAGGCATCAGAGGATAAGAACCTCTCCCTACTGAAAGGATGTGGGCAAGAAGACACTTCCCTGAGCCAGAAGGGGGCAGGTGCGGCAGCATCCACACCCGGAGCAGAAGGTGGCAGAGCCCTCGGTGCCCCACTTCTGCTTCCATTCCCTTTCCAGGAGACTGGGGGGGGAAAAGTCAAAATGACATGCCTGCGAAGGGAAAGTGCAACATATTTAGAACTTTTGGTAGAGGGAAGTATCTGAGGAGTCAGAAAAGCTTTGCCAGCTTTTACTACAAGTGGGAAAAGAAAGCCATCAGGGAGATCCCACTACAACATAAACAGGCTTCCCTTTTCTGGAACCCTGGTGGCATAGGAGGTCAATTTCAGTTTCCCTTTCCACCGGACTGGACTTCTGGATCAGGTATTTTGGCTACAAGTGGACCAATAACCTAAGACTACAATCCAGGGCCCAGTTCCAGCTGTAAAGTCACTCCAACGCCAGCAAATGAAGTGTGGTACCTTGTAGTCCTCTAACTGGGAAATTTCACATCTTCCCCATCACAGTCCGAGAGGTGGGAGAATTAAGTCTATGACATCTCCAGGCTCAGACCAAATGGCAGTACTTGGAATGCAACCAAGTAATCACTGCAAAATAGTTTCAAGCAGCAAGAAATTACATCCAGATTCTCATGGAGACTACTGTAGGGTGCAGAGCAACAGCATGAAAGCAATCAAACTGTATAAATAATGTTTCTTTGCCTTTTTTCTTTTTAAAAAGAAATCCAGTGTCTCAAAAACTTGTGAAGATGTGTTTAAAAAAGAAAGGGTCAAGGAGCCTGCCACACCCTTTTGTTCCCATAACTCTCCTGCTGTACCTTCTGATAGCGAGAGAGGGTGCAACAGCCTCTCCTGCCGTCGGCCTGTGACACCGTCTCTGTCCTACAATTGCACCCCAAGAGGGAAAGCAAAACAGGAAGCAAAGGCAAGGTGTTTCTACCACTGAGAAGTGGGTGCAAACCAAAAGCAAACCGGAAAGCAAGAGCAGTATTAAGGGGGAGATGAGGGACCGGAGTGGAGGCTGCTTTAGAAATCTGGCTGAGTATGCTTTGGTTTGGGGGCTGAAGAAGCTGGACATTTAAAGTGCAATCACATCGGTAATAAATGGTCATCCCTTTCTTCTGACTCCTCCCCCAGCTGGTCATCCCCCACACCGCGGTACGCAGCAGGCACATTCCGAGGTTTAGATCGGCACACAAAGTCACAGCCGTCCTGAAGGGAAAAAGGAAAGGAAGGAAGTGATCATTTGGAATAAGCAACTTTAGGGTAAGACAAAGGATATTAATGGTCTAAGAATGTGGCAAGAATTAGTTTTTTTCTGGGGATAATGAAGAGAAAACTCCAAAGCCCGAGGATTAGCCTAAACTGCACGAGGAGACAGTTGTAAAATTCTAATCAGGCCGCCCCCTCTCCCCATCCAGGCCCCTGATGGCTGTAGTGGGCTTCCCAACCTGAAACAGCATGGCTCCTCTGGCCAGGTCTCAGCAGGGCCAGACACTAAGGTGCGACACTACTTACTACTCTGCACTAGGGCAACTGTCTCGGTTTGCTGTGACTTTTGTGGTTTTAGCGCCCAAAGTCCTGTGTCTCAGGAAACCTCTCAGTCTGGGCAAACCAGGATGGCTGGTCCTTCAACCCTGCATGCAGGCCACGACTTAGCCAGCTGCCCTGGTACTTACTGCTACCAGGTTGCCAAGATCCTGCCAGAAGGCTAAGTGAGGAAACTGCTCCATTCCTTTGGCTCCCACCACCAGTCGCTGGTACAGGAACCCCCCAATGATATAAACAGCGACCAGTGATGCAAACCTGTTAGGGAGAAAGACATCTATACTTCAAAACCAAGAAATAGTGAAACCCAGTAAAGAAAATCTCTACATTCATTGTTAGCCGTGTTCCATAAAAATGAGAGAGGGAAAAAAAAGGTAGTCATGTTAATGAAAAGGGACTGGTAGCTTCCTTAGAAAAGCAACTAGTACTGTCAGTCTGAGAAACACAAAAGGCTCAGAAAAAAATAAAATTGTCACTCTGGCTTAGGGCTGAGAATAGTCACTAGTAGATACACAACTCCATTTCTTCAAAAGTTCTAACAATCTAATGGGATAGTACGAAAAACTGTCCGGCCCCCAAGAAGGGAAAAAACCCACCTGCAAACGCAAATACTTACTGGGGACAAAACAGTCTCACTTTTCAAAATGTGCGCAGAGTTTAAAGAGGATTTTCCCAAAGTTCTTCCCCCTCCAGTTATGTTTTGTACACATATACCTCCAAATAATTGTTGAGTTAAAAAAAAAGGCTTGGACTGATACAGGAAAAGGACTCACGTGACAAGTAAGATGGAGCCCACGCTGAGGTGGGAGACCTCCGGGGAGCAGGCCAGGCTGCTATCCATCTCAAAGAGGTAGAAACAGTCTTGGACTTTGCCTCGCTCCTCAGACACAGGGTTAAAATTGTCCTGATGGTGAGAGGACAGAACACAACGTTTATGTGGTAAAGTGTTTTTTTTGAGGCCTGTCTGAAAAAAGAACAACCCCCCCCCAAGACCCCCAAAACATCTGCTTTCTCCTGCTTCAAAAACCTATTTCCCATGAATGATGGAAGACGGGTGTCTATGACTCAGGGAAAAACTGAACCTCCAGTTTTCTCTGATCCATCCCAATGATCCTGTTCCCTCCAGACAGTCTCTCCCACTGAAAGGTCAGTCCCTTCATGGCCCCTCTAGGCTCCTACGCCCCAGGGTGCCTCACCGCCAGGGTGCGTCGATTGCAGGAGATCATCACCACTGCCCGGCGCTGCTCCTTGCCACAGTGATTGTCATATTCATCACCCCCTTTATAGATCAGCATGATCCAATTACCTGAGGAGGGACAAGGAAAATGGAGCTTTGGGGCGGGGGACAAGCAGAGGCAGACCTGGGCACTGCGGTAGAGTGGACCTGAGTTCAATGAAATTGGCTTTAATTAAAATAACCCTTATCAGCATGAGCTCCATGCACCAGAAATACCGGCTAAAACGTGCTTCCTTACAACAGCTTTGTATTCCCTCGTTAAGAGAACTGAGAATCAGATATTCATACAAGAACAATCATAATTTTCCATGTTAAAGGTAGGCAACCAATAGTGCAAATACAATTATGATCTATCCCCTAATCATGATTTGCATTTTCTGAACACCTGCTGACATCAAAAGATGAGGTCACATACCATTACTGGGTGGCAAGCGAACGTCTAAGATTTTAAATTAACCACACATAAATTCAAAGTGGATGATTTTTAAGACTCGGGGAAGGGGATTCTCTCCTTCTTTAGTATTTTCTGTGTTCAAATTTCTTTTACAAAATATCATTTGATTCAGTAATAACGTGAGTGAATAGGGTAAGGATTTTGCTTCTAATTTTGCATATGAAAAAACAAAGTAAAAAGGTGAAATGATATTTCAAAGTCACAGGACAAATAAATATGAGCTGGGTCAAAATTCCAGTCTTCTGATCTCTAGCCTCAAACTCTTGCCATTTTTTTTTTGGGTTTTCTTTTTTTTGACATTTTTAAAATTATGTTATTTACAGGAGCAGCAATCTGCACTAAATCACTTACTCGTCTGCTTAAGGAAGGAAAACAGACCACAGTTGCTCACATAGTCCCTTCTAGCAGTAAGATTTATGACTTTTGAGAAATATCACCCAAACTCAAGTTGGGGGGGAGATTTTTGTAGACTGACTGGTTTTTAAAAAAGCTTGATCTCACTTTAAAACAAACACATAAATGTCCTGAGCCTTGGCTGCAGGACTGTGGAACAAGGTACCCTCTGGTTTGCAGGTATCTCAGGTATGCTGAACCACACACACCGTATGATGCACTGCAGGGACCGGGCAGGGCTGAGACAGGACTCTCAGAGGGACTGACCTGGGATCCATAACTAATCAACAGGGAGAGTCTTACTTCCATTGAAGATGTGAGTCTCGTTGAGTCTCCCTACGACTGTCTCCTTCCCGCTGCTCTTGCTGATCTGCACCAGGCCTGCCCCGGAGCTGTGGTTGCCAGCTTCTCGGCACACCCTGAACATGTAGACGTACGTGTCTGAGCCCTGGCCCACGGTGCTCTCAAAGCTGCAAGGAGAAGTGAGGAGACAGAAGAGGACAGTTACTGGCTGTCAGCCTTAAGAGCAGCCTCCTTTTAACCACCACCACCAAAAAAAGGTGCCTTCAATTTATTTGCCTGATGTCACAGTAGATGTAATGGTGAATCACACCTGCTGCACCATGAGGTCCCCACGACCTGACAGACCCTGACCACACCCTAACTGCTGCTGACTGATTAAAATACAGCACCCAAGATGGCGAGTATTCTAGATATTTCCAGAATAACTCCTCTAGACTATGCTGAAGTGTTAGCTACTACTTCCCAGTGAGTAAGGGTCTATGTTCATGAGACACTCCTTAGTTCCTTAAAGATGATCTCCAGATTCACATACCCAGGATTCCTGACACTTATGATGACACATATAGGCCTCCGTATGTCCATCTGGTACTTCTAAGGTCCTACTGCATAGATGTATCAAATGCTGCTTTTTAATTTCCTATAAGCTGGTCCATTGGACCCAGTCTTGGAAACGGCTACTCTTTTGCAAAAGATGCCTGCACATGGCTACTGAGCACCGGGCCGAGCATCTGCTCTGCATCCTAAAGGAGAGCAAGATGTCACGGCCCAGGAAGACCAATGCTGCTGAAGTTTAGGTTAGAACCATCTCTCAGGGAAGGTTATGATACATGTACCCCCTACATATCTGGTAGAAATACTAAAATAAAATCAGTGAGAGGAGGAAAAGATTCTTTAATAAAGTCATTTTCAAGCCTTTAAGGTTCTTCTCATTTACCTTTTGTTATACAGCGGCTTCAGCCTCTTCAGCAGAGCCAGTTCGTTCTCTGACTCTTTACCCTTTTCTCCCACCAGGTCGCATGTTTTTTCTTCCGTCTGCCAGGAGTCCCTCACCGCCCCGACCAGCAGCAGGAGCAGGAGTGGTCCGGTCCTCCAGGAGCAGCAGAAGGGGCGCATCCTTTTGGGGGAAGGCAGGGAGTGGGGAGATGAGAAGAGAAGGGAAAGAGAGAAAGCATATGAATATGCGATTAATGAATGGCATTTAAAAAAACTTTTTATCCTCCATCCATCACCTACATTACACTAGTCAGGTTTCTTCGTTATCATGAAGTTGGGCTTTATTTTCTCATCTCTAGTTCAAGATTTTAGCTGTCACCCATGTTCTTTTTGCCATCCTTTAATATTCAAAACTGACTTCTTAAGTCTCTGGGTTCCTCTTTTTCTTCTTAAAAGTTATTTTAAAAGCTTCTCCCCAGCTGACTCCCTTGTCTGACACCACTGCTCACCTCCTGTCCTCCTGGTGTCCTTTCAGGACAGGGCCACAACGTGCATTCAACAAAGAGGACAGCATCGGCCTTGGTGAAGAGTTATTGTCTACAGATTGTCGATGATTTCTGCAAGGTGTGCATACAACAGGAGTATCTCTGGGGGTGCGGGTATAGCTCAGTGGTAGAGCACATGCTTAGTATGTGCAAGATCCTGGGTTCAATCTCCGTACCCCCATGAAAGAAAAAAAAAAAAAGAATATTTCGACTTGGGAAAAAGACAAATTTTTTGTCCTAGAAACTGTCAGAAGAACCAGTCAATGGCCTAGAGAATACGAAGGTGCCACTAATGAACAGTATTTTGAATCTGCAGAAACAGTCAGATTCTCTGGCATATGCAACAAATAGTACCTCATAACATCTGAGTCAAGAGCACCCATGTTAGGAAATTCATATATTTATCACTTTCAGCCTAACTCATAGGTAAGTCTTTCAGCACAAACTACAAAGGTGAGAAGAGAGAAAGGAAAGAACAAAAAGAACTAATTATGACAGCCTGGTGGAGACATCCTTGCCTCTTTACCGTCTGGTGAAAAGTTGGATTGAGATGTCTCATTATTTAAAGTTTAATACTAGTTCCTAAATACTGCTAAAGCCAGTGACTCTCCCTAAGATAATACTCAAATTAAAATGAACACTTGCTAAGGGCTGGTTGGAAGTTACTAAAAAAAGATGTAAAATAAAGAAAGAGACTCGCATACTCTGGGCTCTAATCCCTCATTTTAATATTCAGGAGCATCCAACAGTCTGCGTTCATATTCACCATAAGAATGATGAGCAGAGATAAACACAGCCACAGTGCCAGGATCTCAGCATCGATCTGCTCTAGTGTCTCATCTCTGAAAAATCATTCAATCATTTAAACAACAGGAACAGAATTCACTAGGTCAAAATGAGTGGTTTGAAGATATTCCAAAACTCACCTCAGGCTCCACAAGTCATGAATCTCAAGAGTTTCTAGATTTCCAGTAAGTACAGCTGTCTTCCTACAATTCCAAATTGCTGACCATTCTTGGGAATCATCAAGCCACCTTACAAAATTAGCAAATCAACTCACCTGCCACTGGTACTGCTCTAGGAGTGGAAACGTGTGGCTGTTTCCCAAACTCATTTTCTTTTCTCTAATCTCATCTTTACACCCAGGCTACTGATTTACCCTTGCAAAAGAATTCACTCTGGTGTCTATGATCCAGGCCACTGCTACTTGTTAATTTCATAACAGTATCACCAATTTTCTTGATACAAAGATTCAATTCTCCCAAACTTCTCTCATTTATGGTAAAATGCTTCCATACTACAAGTCTTGACTTTGGTTCAAATTCTCTTTCAGAGTCCTCTAATTCGTTTTCATACTGTTTCAAATGACTCCATTGCACTTTTAGAATATAAAACTGAAATAGGCAGAATTTAATGGGTACTAATAAGTACCTGAATACATTTTCTCCACTCTCCTAAATGAAGTTACATTTGACTTTCTGTTTACCACATTCTACTGTGCTTGGGAAGTCGTCTCTCTGACTTGGTGTACTCCAAACATTAACTCAGCGTAGTTTACTAAGATGTTTTCCTAGAATAATTACGGCCAGCCACAAAGTCTGAAGCCCCCATAAACACATTCAAAGCATAAGCAGGAAAAAGCAGAGTGCTTGCTTTTTGCCAGGGACTGTTTGATGCACTTAACATTCGTTAACTGATTAAGCCTTAAACAACAACCCTATGCAGTAAATACAATTATTTTTCTTATTTTACAGTTAAGAAAACACACAGCTAGCGGTGTGAAGCAGATAGTCTTAGCTCCCAGCTCACGGTCTACCCTTAGCCACTATATGTACATCTTCTTTCACATTAATTTTTTGGGGATTAGAGTAAGCAGTCAAAGACCTGCTTTTTTTTTTTGACAAAGCACGAAGGAGAAGTGACTCTTCACACAGTTCACTGACTAGAAGGCGGAATAAAGAACCCAGACCTCAAACTCCTACTTTTCCTTTAATTAATTCATTGCTCAACACACAACTTGACCAGCTGAGTTTCAAAAATGAAATAAGAGACTCCTTTTATTAGACTGATTTAGCATGCCATTTTCCTTACATTCTGTCAGGATCCAATTTGAAATTTCAACATTCCAGCCTTTCAAGATTTTTTTTTCCAGGATCGGTTTTCCAGAGGGATGCTCACACAGAAGGCTGTGTTCTTTGGCTTCAAAGTTAGTTCCTTATCTGCTAACAGTTGATTTCTTTTCCCAAATTAAAGCAAAGAATCTCACAAAACTGGGAAAGGATGAAACACCTTGCAGTCAGCATTAATTAAGTTGAACTACTTGTTCTTATTGGTTCGAAAAGTTAGGACGAGAAAAAATTTGTTCCTGTCTTTCCTGGTTAAGGTATGGCTATGGTTGAGCTGCTTCTCTTTGATTAGGTGGTATGCGCTCTCTGTGCCTTATCTAGATTATGCGCATTAACCTTCACAACCTAGAAAAGTAGATATAATTTCTCCCACTTTACAGATGAGGAAACCGATTTTCACAGAGGTTAAGTTAACTTACCTTAAGTTATACGAGTATTAAACATGTTGAAGTTAGGGGGGCAACTTGAATGATTCACAGCATAAAGATATTTACTGGAAAACTTCTCATAAATACAAGAGTGCAAAAACGTATTACAAAGAGCATTAAATCCAAGGGCTGGGTAGTCCCTTTGTAATGTGCTACAATTACGATTCTCAAGGCGCAAGAGTCTGTCCTAGATACTTTGGAGACAAGCGGCAGGACTTAGAAGATTTTGAAAAGTCCCTTTCAATTTTCTTGTTCTACAATGATAGATCTATTTGGTTAATGCTAAAAATTCTCCTTCAATGGGATGACCAACGACTAAGCCAGGAACTGGGAAGCACTCGAGATCACTGGGCCTCTGTATCACTTACTTCCCCCACCCTTTAACCAGCCATGAGCATTTTCCGTTTTTCAATGGTATTTCTACTTTTTTCTCTCCGACTCATTTCTGATGAGGCGGCCCTATCTCCCGTCTCCAGCAGACTACACTTTCAGAAGAGCAGCCTTAGCTAGCTGAACCGCGCAGTGCTGTTAAAGCCTCAAGGCAGAAGCCTACGGCCCCAAGGGCAGAAGCTCCTGCAAAGAGGAACACAAATCTCTCGGTTAGCTACTCTTCATCTCATACACTCATCTTCCTCACATTTCCTCCAGCGTTCCAGACATTCTCGTTCCGCCTAGACTCCTGACTTCCCAACTGCTTAGGGCCATATCCTCTACACACGATGCTACTTTTAACCTCCCTCCACGATGCAGGCCAAAATCCCTTCCACAGGTATCCAGGAACACCTCGACCGGACTCCAGGTTTAGGGACCTTGCTTTTCCTGACTTCCAAACACGTGAATTCCCTCTCTGGTCTCGGAGGGCCTTTCTTCCTCGCTCCCTCCGGGACTCTGTGACTCCCCACCTCACGCCTCCGCCTTTCTGCCCTCGGGCTCCTCTGCTGGATTTTGGGCTAGAACTCGGGCCAAGGGGTACTTAGCGATGCCGACCCCTGTCACAGACACGAGGGGTGATTGTTCTCCAGCCCCCTCCTCCTCCACGCCCCTCATACTCACGTGTCGCGGGCAAAGGGAGCAGCCAAAGCTCAGAATCCCCGACTGAATAACTGCCCGCAGCTGGGAGACAGGGCCTGCGAGGGGCCGGCCGCAGACCCCGGTCCCAGAGCTCGTGGCAGAGCCAGGGTCCCCGCCAGGCGCCTCGTTGAGCTCCACTCCGGGAACCGGAAACAGGAAGCGCCGGGCGCCGCTGGGCGACCGTCCCTCCCACCAGACCCCGCGACATGTGACCACAGAGCCGCTCGCCCCTCTCCCCTTCTCCGTCTCTCAGAGAATCCCAGGCGCTGATTGGCCAGGGACGTGGGCGTCGGGATCCGCCCTCCGGGCACCAACTCCAATCCCCACGGAGATTTTGAAGTTGAGTTCCACTTTGTCGGATCGCTTTGCTACTAACGGGGATCCCAGCGCCACGCCCCCGGGCCCCTCGGCTCGCGCCCCCGTCACGTGGGGTCACGAGAGGTCACGCGCGGTCACGTGCCGGGCCCGCTCCCGGGTAGGCCGGACGGCGGGGGCGCGTG